AAGAGTTGGACATATGGGAACTCTGCTTTGCCATGGTTCCTAGAGCCCTTGAGAGCCCTTCCCAGAGTTGGGTCAGCAAAGCAGAGGACTCAAAAAGCTCTTTCAGTGGCACAGTTTCCCCACTCTCCATTCATTCATTCATTCATTCATTCAATCATCCATATTGGGCATGCGCCTAAGGTTACGATCATGTAAGTAAATTATGCGTAAGTGGTGGACCCACCTTAAATAACTTTACTGGTTCTTAGACAGAGCACAGCTGGAGGAATAACCTTTGTGGCAAGGAATCACAAATCAACAAGTAAGCAGGTAAGGGATCCCATTTTCAGCAGGCTAGGCTAGGAGTGGAGCTTGAACTGAGCAAGCACAGTGCATAGGGGAACCCGCAGCCCACACGGGAACAGATCTTCCCATGTGGAAGCCTGCAAACCACATGGTAAAGGAGGAGGATTTTGTGCATTTATTTACTTTTAATATGAATCAATGTTATTTCTAAAAAACCTCACCCACCGAAAAACCTGCGCCCACAATAAAAAATCACAGTGCCATTTAATTGTTTGTTAATCTCTCATCTTAATTTTGCAATGACCGGTATTGCATGTTAAGATTATTTGTTACTTTAGTATTTTATCTGCTCCTGACTTGTAGCTGTATTTGTTGTTTTAGTGATTGTTGTATACCTCGCCTTGAAATGGTTGGACAGAGAGCAAGATATAAATATTTTCCAAAATAAATAAATTAGCAAACAATGGCATAACCAGTAGGGATCAGGAAATAGCCAAGGACTGAATAAAAACAGCCTCTATCTCTATCCCACCTACCGCACCAGCCAAACAATTCAAAGAGCCTTCATAAATAATAATTTAAAACAAAAAAAAAGTCTTCTAAGGCTCAGAAGGGAGTTGGTCAGCTAAGGTGTTCCATATGAAAGGCCCAAAATCAGAAGGGGGAAGCTCTAAAGGATGTTGCTGTTCCTGCCTGAACATCAGATAACAAGGGCTCAGAACGCAGGGTCTCACCTAGGCTCAACATGGGAAGGAGGACAGGAATTCCTTCTGGTCACCCTAATGGAGCATAACAGAGTCAATCAGGATGCTTAAAGATGGGTTACTATTTCACCAAAGCCACCAAAATGAATTTAGACTGCAACCCAATACACAGTTTAATGGGATTTGTGTACTGAACTCACTGAGACTTGATACTGAGTACACACGTGCAAAACTTTGCTGCAAGGCTGGCTCTGATGGTGCCATTCAACTTCAAATATTTGGGAGAATTGCCCCAGCAAAATTCAGATTGTTCTTTAAAAAAAAGTGAGACTGGATTTCCGTTCTTTCTGTTTCTATTTTAGAAAATCATTTCCTCTGATTGAAATACAGTTATAAGCCTAACCTGGTCAGTGGGGGAGGGGGAAGGATGTCCTTGAAAAAATGAAAACAGGCCTCGTTTTTTAAAAGTTGTCTGCAACAAGGCTGCATTGTAGCCTCAAAACACACAAGCACTTTTGAAGAATCAGGAATGCTGGAGCTGGTTTTTCTGCCTCTGTTGTAAATCTTTTTTTCTGTTGTGGGTTATTTTGTTTGGGTGTTGGACTTGCATTTTTGCTTTGCTCTTTCTATTTATTGTTTTGCTGGGGACACTCCTCAGAAATTATGGCTGAGCGGCAACATATCATTGCGTTACATAAATGCCTCAGCTGGGAGAGGTGAGGAACAATGGAGCCAAGCTACGCCTCTCCTTGCACAGAAAATCTACTTCCATTATATTTCAAATATTAATTTTCTCATTTGTCTCCATGTAGGCTAACCACAATTGTTGATGGTGTGAATCACTCTTAGAATCTCATTACACAAGGGGGGGGGAGGCACTGGACGTGATCCAGGGAACCAGAAGAACAGCTGGGTCTCATTATACTGGGGGGGGGGGTTAAAATAAGGCAGTGCAAATACAAGCCCTTCTATAGTCAGGACAGTATGCATTTCCCAGCTGCACAATGCACACATGCAGGAATGGTTCTGAGCACAGAATTCATCATCCTGAGAATCTCAGCTTTCTTTCTTTTTTAAAGAAAGTGTTAATGCCATAAAGCAGTGAAGATAAATTTGGAGGATTGCTACTATTATTATTTTTACTATTATTATTATTTTCTTCCCAGGGTGGGTTATAGCAATTTAAAAATACAATATTAAAAACAATTTACTATCACAAGAATAGAGTGTATCTCATATATGTATACGTATACATACACACACACACACACACACACACGCACACACACGCACACACACACACACACACACACACATATATATATATATATATATATATATATATATATACACACACATATATATACATATACATACTTACATACACATACACTTACACAGAGAGAGAGACCAGGATATGATGAAAGTTGCTAAATGAACCTCTGTGGGGAGGGAATTCCACAACTTGGGCATTGCCACAGAGAATCCCTTACCGCTGAGCTTCTGAGGGTGGCAGAAAAACCAAGAGGGTCCCCCCTTGAATTGGCTCTGTCTGTCATTGGCTCTGGCTCCCCCTACTGTTGGTCTGCCTGCCTTCCACCCTACCAATTCCAGGGGGGCAGCAGCCACCACTGCACCAGCAAGGATGATGCTGAGGGTAGACAATACAGCAAGGTCTCAAGCAAGAAGCAATGGAAAGGTTCTCCAGCCTTGCCAGATCAGAAAGAAATGTGGTTAATACGTTTTTTGGAGCTTGTCATACCTGAAGTTTCTGCAGCAGTACCACATCGGCTATTTTGTCCTTGTCCTGTTTGGTTTGTTTGGCTTTCCAGTATTGTTTCTGGGCAGAGTAGCGGTTCATGGGACATACTCTAAAGAGGCAATCTGTAACGAGAAGAAGTTAGTGTTAAGTTGTGGGTGAACATATCAGACGACACAGCGATTCTTCAAACAGCTCTTGTTTATTCACAGGCCAGAACAGAACTGAACTGAAGCGTTCAGCCAGCCTGCTTATATAGAGCTCCACTAGAACGCAACAGTAACCATTTTCTGTAACTATCCAATCACTGAACGTCACTTTCGATCCCTTATTTGCATATGTAGACCTGAGTGAAAACTATCTACAGTATCCCCCTGCTGGCCCAGGGTGAGAACTTCAGTACATAACAGTTAGCAAGCGTTAGCATGCTAAAACCACAATTCATAAGAACATAAGATGAGCCTGCTGGATCAGGCCCATGGCCCATCTAGCGCATCCTGTTCTCACAGTGGCCAACCAATTGCCTATGGGAAGCCTGAAAACATTACATTCTTCTAACGCTCACCACTGATTATTAAGAGCTGCTGCTCACCAAATTATTCTCTTTCTACTAATGTTAACTTTCAGGTTAAATACGATGTAAATGTTACATATCTGAAAAGTCTGGAAAAGACAAGACTCGTAGCTGTGGGGGTCCACCTTCCCTTGTGTCACTGCTAGTGTCTAAGAGCTATGTGAGAATGCAAATCCTTCTAGAGCTTTTAGATGCTAGAAAAAGAGGGACGTTTTTCATTATCGCCATCTCTCCTGTAGCTCTCAAATGCTAGGAAAAGAGATTCTCATACATCTTTTAGGAAGCAATAGCAATTCCTGCAAATGTAATGGCATGTACAGCTTTTAGGCAAGGATGGAAAAGTTCTATTAAGCAGTAAGAATAATTCTTCTTCACATTTGACCCTGAACAAAATACATTATCAAAATAAAGGAGGGTTGAGAAAGAATTAAAATCAGCCTTGCAATGTGTGAGCATTGGGCATTGGGGGCAGGGGGAAGAGTTGCACTGTGACCATTTTTTAAAAGGGGGAACTAGCAACCTTGTATTTAAAGGTAGATCTACCCTAAAAAGTTCTTTAAATTCCCCTGCTTTAAGATTAATCCAATCCTTGAGTGATATTTTTGCCCCACCCTGGCAAAACATGTGAAAATTGCTTTGAAAATTGGCCTAGCAGTGATTTCAATTGTTTGTTAGAAAGACAGTCCCAGGTGGATGGAACCAAAGTCCTTGATGGCTCTTAATTGCTCCTAAAATAGCACCACAGAAACTTCAGACACTAGAAGAAAATAATTTCCATTCTTGGAACCCGTCCCAAGTTGCTGGCAAACCTGCTGTCAGTTATTCATCAGAGAGTGATGAATAAGCAGGCGCAAAACATTATTCACACCAGTTCTGGAAGCAAGCCATTTTTTGGTTGTCTCATCCCACACGGCTGCTTCTGCTATTGGCAAGTCCCACACCAAGGACACCTCACCTCCCATGCCAGGGGAATTCCTTAGCACAGGGTTAATGCATGTGGTGACCCCCTTTCCCCCTCCCCCAGTTTTGCTGGACTCCCAACTCTCATTGTCCCCACACAGCATGGCTAACCATCAGGAATGCTGGGAGTTGCAATCCAATAGCATCCAGAGAGCATCATATTGGAAACCCCCCACTTTAGCAGGTCCTGTCTCCTCCTCATGAATTAGGACCAGCTTCTCACAAACAGCAGACTGAGTGGTCAACCTCTGCCTGGTCTGTACTGTTCTACTGCTGGTAGGTGCTCATAGATGGACAAATGCCCAGATTCAATATTCACAAACAGACAAACCTCACACACAAATGCTTGTACATAACATCTGTGTGAAGGGCCTGTGGGTTCTTACTGTCTCTCAGTACAAGAACTGATGTGCCCCAATGCGTCATCAATTGCCTGTGCTGGAGATTAATGGTACAATTTCTTGTTTTTCATACATTTTCTCCTCCATGTAACAAGTTGGGAGCCCATATATAGTTGCTATTGTCGATTTGACGTCTGAGGAAGGCCAGACAAGAGTAAGGACTGCATCAAAAAGTTTCAAAATTCCTACCTGGAAATCAACCCTGCACCCTGCACCCTCACCAAAGACCATCACTTAAATAAAGAAGGGTTAACCCAGAGAATAAATGGAGCTTGAGGGTACAGCAATGCACTGGCGTCACCAGGGATACAGCAAAAGGAATGGATGTAGCTGAGTGGTAGAGCATCTGCTCTGTGTGCAGGTCTCTGGTTCAATCCCTGCCATCTCTGGGTAGGACTGGTAAAGGTAAAGGTAGGTAAAGGGACCCCTGACCATTAGGTCCAGTCGCGGACGACTCTGGGGTTGCGACACTCATCTCGCTTTATTGGCCGAGGGAGCCGGCGTACAGCTTCCGGGTCATGTGGCCAGCATGACTAAGCCGCTTCTGGTGAACCAGAGCAGCGCACAGAAACGCCGTTTACCTTCCCGCCGGAGTGGTACCTATTTATCTACTTGCACTTTGACATGCTTTCAAACTGCTAGGTGGGCAGGAGCAGGGACCGAGCAATGGGAGCTCACTCCGTCGTGGGGATTCGAACCGCCTACCTTCTGATCGGCAAGCCCTAGGCTCTGTGGTTTAACCCACAGCGCCACCCGCGTCCCTGGGTAGGACTGGTAAAGAACCCTAACTCAAACCCTGGCGAGCCACCGGCAGTCAGTGTAGACAATGCATCCCACATCATTTAGTGCAGGGTCCCCGCCCCCCCCCTTGCCTCTGCCATTATCACCAAAGGAATATGCATGTGCTTGCAAGTGGGTTGTGTCAAGGTTAAATTGCACCAGCAGTTCAGTGACTTAGCTGGAAGCGTCCCTGAGGACTGAACACCAGAGCTAGAGCAGAGGTGTGAATCCATTACTGGAATGGCTCTGCTTCCTTCTGATCCTGCTGGACACCAAGCTGCATCTGACCAGAGGATATGAATGGAATCAGCTGTCCTGCTGCTGTGTCCTCAATGGGTGGGGATTATGTGCAATTATGTTGTCTGTTACAGCCAGCCACCCACAGTGTGTTTAAAAAATAAAATAAATCTTAAAGCATTTATTGTCATCTCTCTGACAAAGTACAAGATTTGAACGCCTTCATTTTTTCCCACTAACGTGTTCAAACATGGGGATCTGCCTTGCTGAAAGAGCCTCAGGGGAAAGCATGGAAAGGGGGCGGGGAGCAGGAACTGCCAAGCTGTGATCAGACATTTCTGTTGGCCCAGCCAAGTCCAGACACTTCATAGCTGAACTATGTGATTTTAGCTGGATTCTAAGGGCTGCCGCCAACATGACTTTTTGAACATGTGCAGCTTAAAACCTGCTTCCGAAGAGGTGTGCAAATGCCATTTAAGAAGTCTGCTTCTCTAGAAATGTACAGATTCAGTAAATCTCCATTTGCATGGATGTGTGTCATTTGCAATCAAACAGAGGCACATAGGAAAGCCTTAACTGACATTTGCATGGGTCCGGGGGGGGGGGGGGCGGTGTTTAAAAAGGACTATCAGGGCAGTTTCACTATGAAGTGAAATATCATCAGTAATCTTTGAAGGCCAATCCACAAAAGAGACTTAAGGCGGATCAGAGGAATACAGTCAGCGAAATGCCACGGTCCAAACCAGGGCAGGAAAGAAATCCATGCCTCAGAATTATATACTTCGTTCAATTTAGCTTAGTTTAATTTGGAGGTTTCATAAGTAGTCTGGTGCAGGTCACCACTAGAGCTATGTCTGCTGCTTGGCGAACATATTGTCTCTTCTTTTTTGACAAAACCATGGGAGGAATTCAATTTCACATTATTATTATTGTTCTGCCAGTACAACCATTTTTTGCTCTCCTGCTCCCATGTGCTGTTCTAGGGATTCTCCCAACCCTCTGGGGTTGATTGGGGGTGTGTGCATGGGCACATGGGGAGAGAAGATGAGGGGAAGCCACATTGCACTAGCCGGACTCATTGCTGATACAACTGTTTTGTTGAACCTAGGCCCATGTGTTTTTGTCTCAAAAACTGAACCTGAAATGGGGGAGTTCTATTTCTAGAAATTGCCCAGTAAGTCCCTACACAGTCCTAGGACCAAAAAAGCTCAAAGACCCACAAGGATGTGATAACATGTGCCAAAGGCCAGCAGCTGATAGCATTTTAATCTTGTGCTGTAAATAATTATATCACAGAATATCAAAAGTGCTGAACCACTGTCTGAGCAGGTAATAGAAATTTATTGAGAGTGGATTTTCCTGAAAGCTGGAACTCTGCACCAAAGGTGTGTCAGCTCCAGCAGTTTTCAAGAGAAGAGTGTGATTTTTCTGAGTGTTTGGACCAGTCGATGTTATTATTTGCAGTGGTTTCCTTGCAGTAACCTTAAGCTGCTCCTGTTGAAATCCTATGACGTCAAGAGAAGAAACAGCCCTGGAGTGGCACATGCCCTGCTGGCATTGAATTCAGGGTCAAATTTGCTGAATCCCAGGATGGCAAAGTATAAACACCTGAGGATTCACGCTAGGTTTGTTGCATATCCTTGTGAGAATATGAGATCCATTCTGCTTCAAAAACCCACTGCATAGCCAATGCGGCAAAATGCAGAAAGCCCCAGAAAAGAAATGTGTGTCTGCAGATCTGAAAACATTCTACCCCAAATACAGTGTATTTCTGTTTTGTTTTCCTGTGTGTTTCCATTCTGAGCTGTGGCAAAGGAAACAAGACAAGGACAAGTGACAGCAGAGCAAAGGGGGATTTTTCACTTCCAGAAGCACAAATATCATAGCACACATGCATATATACACAGAAAACCATGAGCCAGTCAAACCTAGTGAATAGGATGGGCTTTATTATTTTGTATTTAAATGATATAGTTCTTCTATTGCTGTAAACCATTTCAGATGGGCTTTGCATAGAAATGTAGCGTAGATATATTTTGAAATAAACAAATGCACGAATGTTTAAAAGCCAATACTTCTGACAATGGCATAACTGTACCATCTCAAATAGAGGAAACATTATCACTACCACATACAATTATATCTATAGTGTTGCCTTGTACAGGATACTCCTGGAAACAAAAGGGCAAGGATTAAAAGATTAGATAAAATGGTGGTGGAAGAGCAACAAGCAATTCAATAGCCACAGTAAAACTGACACAAGCTGTCAATTACTCTGTTTAAACTTGCAAATAGCTGGAGGATATTTTCAACCCATGACCATTATACAATGCTGCAAAACGCATAGGCAGCTTGGAATGTGTGCCATTGCTTGAGCAACAGGTCAAAAGTCTGCGTCTCAAAAGAATTCAGGTTCTGGTTTTGCTTTCCTCATTTGTTCGTTGTGGGCTGCCTTCCCCCTGAAATGTAGCCTTCTCTTTAATATGGAGACGGAAGAATGGGGATGAATTTCGTAACGGTTTTTCTAGAACGACTGGTTTTAAATACTGTTCTTACGAGTTTTCTCTATACCCGTCCTCCGCTCCTACTTCCTTTTTAAAAATCATACTTTTTGTATTTTTAATATGTTTGTATTCATTTCTGTATGTTTGTGTAATGTATTGATAAATAAATTGTTTCAAAAGGAAGACAAAAGGCAGGTGGCTAGCTTAGGGAACACCGGGGGGGGCACACACAGCTCTGTCCCTGAGAGCAGAAGGAGCAGCTGAGAGAGATGCTGCCACCAACAACCCACGTACACCAGAATCTGCCACCTGAAGTGGCTTCCTCACTCTGCTTAATGGTAGAGCCGGCCCTGATGGCTGTCCCTGCTGCATAGGGGCAGCTGGAGCATATGAATTCCATCCCAAATGGTGTGTTTAGGAGGATTCTTATGCCAGAGTGTGGTGACAAGGCAAGTCAGAAGAGAAATCGTTGAGAAGGGAAATGAGCCTCTATACTTATAGAGAAAGTGGGGTTGTTGGAATGGACAAGGACTAAGAGAAGGGATGGTTTTAGCAAAGAAACCCGGTGCTTTGGCCCTGACATCCTGTTTCACAGGCCAAGAGTTGCCCTGCCCTTTCCCTGACTCATCACCTTTTCCCTTTGGAACAGGACACCAGGCAGCCAACACACCACAAAGACATGCTTGAGAATCCATGGCTCTCGCATGCATAGGAAACAATTAGCAAAACTTGAGTCACGGAAGGCATGGCTGAAGTGTGCCAAACGGGAGTGGCTCAGGTTAGTTCTCCCGCCACTGTGTCCACATCATCAAAGAGATTTCCACAGCGCAGTTCTCTAAAGTTCTACTCAGAAGTAAGTCCGCCCAGTTCAATGGGGCTTACTCATAGGCAAGTGTATACAGCATTTTAATCAAAGGCACAGGAGCACAAAAAAGCCTCAATAGCATTTTGCCCATTTCCACAGGTGCTGGAATTGCATATTATGGGTGTGTCCAGGGAGAAAATCGCCAGGTATCAGGTCTAAAAGGAGAGCGGCAAAGAAAGAAAAATGGATGGGGAGAAAGAAGAGAAGAGAGAAGGGTTGATCTACTTTGGGCCCTAGCCACTGCTGATATACAGGTCCCCCACCACCGATGATGTCCTCAACTGGGGTGGGGGACCTCCCCACTTCTGATATAATACATAAAGGTTGCAAACCAAGGACTCTGGTGGCAGCCCCAATGCCACTATGGTAGTGCACAAGCGGATCACCACAGGAGATGGCCAGAAAGTGGTACCAAAGGTGCTGAAGATACACACCCTTACCCTAGTATTTGACACCCAGGATATATAGAGATACCTGGAGATACAGTGGTACCTCTGGGTGCAAACAGGATCCATTCTGGAGCCCCATTCGCATCCTGAAGTGAACGCAACCGAGTCTGCGCATACGCAAGTCGCGAGTCGCCGCATCTGCGCATGCGTGTGACTTCATTTTGAGCGTATGCACATGCACAAGCAGCGAAACTCAGAAGTAACGTGTTCCATTACTTCCGGGTCGCTGCGGAACGTAACCTGAAAATGCTCAACCTGAAGCATATTTAACCCGAGGTATGACTATATAGATATACATACAGTATTTTAGTTTCCAGTCTAGCCTCATAACTGTAATTGGTTATAAACTGTTTTTAATATTGTATTTTTAAATTGCTGTAACCTGCCATAGGACTTTATGGTGAAGGGCTGTTAAGAAATATTAATGATGCAGCTGCCAGCCCAGCCCAGATATAATAAGTCAGTCATCTGGCCCTTAAAAGCTACTGACTGCTGCCTGAGCCCTCGCTTTGATTGCTTCTCCCAGCTTGACTTTCTGTGGAACTGCCTGCATC